CCATGTTCGATCCCGGGCGCCGGCGAGAAACGATGGGCAGAGTTTCTTTCACCCTATGCCCGTGTTACCTATCAGTATATAGGTACCTGGGAGTTAGTCAGCTGTCACGAGCTGCTTCCTGGTGTGTGTGTGTGTGTACTCACCTAGTTGTGTCTGCAGGATCGAGCATTGACTCTTGGATCCCGCCTTTCGAGCATCGGTTGTTTACAGCAATGACTCCTGTCCCATTTCCCTATCATACCTGGTTTTAAAATTATGAATAGTATTTGCTTCCACAACCTGTTCCTGAAGTGCATTCCATTTCCCCACTACTCTCACGCTAAAAGAAAACTTCCTAACATCTCTGTGACTCATCTGAGTTTCAAGCTTCCATCCATGTCCTCTCGTTCTGTTACTATTCCGTGTGAACATTTCGTCTATGTCCACTCTGTCAATTCCTCTGAGTATCTTATACGTTCCTATCATGTCCCCCCTCTCCCTTCTTCTTTCTAGTGTCGTAAGGCACAGTTCCCTCAGGCGCTCTTCATACCCCATCCCTCGTAGCTCTGGGACGAGTCTCGTTGCAAACCTCTGAACCTTTTCCAGTTTCATTATATGCTTCTTCAGATGGGGACTCCATGATGAGGCGGCATACTCTAAGACTGGCCTTACGTAGGCAGTGTAAAGCGCCCTAAATGCCTCCTTACTTAGGTTTCTGAATGATGTTCTAACTTTTGCCAGTGTAGAGTACGCTGCTGTCGTTATCCTATTAATATGTGCCTCAGGAGATAGATTAGGTGTTACGTCCACCCCCAGGTCTCTTTCACGCGTCGTTACAGGTAGGCTGTTCCCCTTCATTGTGTACTGTCCCTTTGGTCTCCTATCTCCTAGTCCCATTTCCATAACTTTACATTTGCTCGTGTTGAATTCTAGTAGCCATTTCTCTGACCATCTCTGCAATCTGTTCAGGTCCTCTTGGAGGATCCTGCAATCCTCATCTGTCACAACTCTTCTCATCAACTTTGCATCGTCCGCAAACATCGACATGTAGGACTCTACGCCTGTAAACATGTCGTTAACATATACAAGAAATAGAATTGGTCCCAGCAGTGTGTGTGCAATGTGTGTGTGTGTGTGTGTGTGTGTGTGTGTGTGTGTGTGTGTGTGTGTGTGTGTGTGTGTGTGTGTGTGTGTGTGTGTGTGTGGTGTGAAAAAAAAATAGTAGTATTAGTAGAATCAGTTGATTGACAGTTGCGAGGCGGTTCGAAAGAGCAGAGTTCAACCCCCGCAACCACGACTAAGTGAATACAGTAAGGGATGGAGTAAATCAAAATACGAAAAGTTTTTACTTATGTGAAACATCACACCAGTCACAGGATAAACCCCCACCCCCTCTTTCCCACCCCATCTTTACCGAAACCCTCCCCCCCCCCTTCTCCATGCATGGGAACCCCTTTAGATTGGGGCCTTTGACACTTAGTTGACAACTGTTGGACAACTGACCATACCTCCAATCTCTCGCCCTCCTCCTCCTTCCCCCTAAGCATACACAAATAGATCTCTTCTGTGTCTCTCCCCCTTTTTCCCAATATCTCTCCCCCTAACCTCCCCATACACATACTCCGTATGCACGCGCACTCACTCACGCACGCTCCCCATCTCACTCTACCAAAATACTCCCCTCCACTCCCACTCCCCCCTACAATTGACCAGATACACACACACACACACACACACACAGTGCTGACATAATAGCACTAGAGATCTGCCATGAGGATGATAAACTAATGATCATAAATGCATATAGTCCACCGTTAAGCAGCACATGGTCAAAGGAGGAGCTAGATAGTAAACGAGAAGGTCTTATAACAATAATGAGAGAGATCATAGCGAGAGCGGATAACGATAGTTCACGACTGTTGATATTCGGCGACTTCAACTTGAAATCCATAGGCTGGGAAGCATGTGAAGCTAAAACAGAAGATTTCTGGACCTGTAAATTTGTAGACCTCATCTTGGAAACATTCTTGTATCAACATGTTAAACAAGCTACGAGGATGAGGGAAGGGGACGTCCCCTCCATGCTAGATTTGATATTTACCAGGAAGGAGGAAGAAATATTTGACATTCAGTACCTTCCTCCCTTTGGTAAAAGTGACCATGTCTTTTTGGGAATAAAGTATGCAATGCGATATAATCTGGAAGAAAATATGACAGTCGATGCAAATGAAAAACGTGACTTTAGGAGAGGACATTATGGCAACCTTAGAAAAAATTTTAGTGAGTATAATTGGACAGACTTGTTGCTAGGCAAGGAAGTGAATGAGATGTATGTCAGGTTTTATAAAATATATGATAAAGGCACAAAAAAATTTATACCAAAACAGAGAAGCAGAACTAGGAAACAGGATTGGTTCAACAGAAAGTGCGAGAGGGCCAGAGACCAAAAGACACAAAAATGGAATCAATACAGGAAGAGGCCGAACCCCCAAACATACCAGCGATACAAAGATGTGAGAAACAACTACACGGCAGTGAGGAGAGAGGCAAAAAGAAATTTTGAAAAAGGGATTGCAGACAAATATAAAACAGAACCAGGTCTGTTCTATAAATTCATAAACAACAAATTGCAGGTAAAGGATAATATTCAGAGGTTGAAAATGGGAAATAGATTCACAGAAAATGAAAAGGAAATTTGTGAAACATTAAACGAAAAGTTCCAAAGTGTGTTTGTACAAAATGAAATCTTCAGGGAACCAGATACAATAAGAATTCCAGAGAACAACATAGAGCACATAGAGGTGTCTAGAGACGAAGTGGAAAAAATGCTCAAGGAGCTAAATAAGAACAAAGCAGTTGGTCCAGATGGAGTTTCACCATGGGTTCTGAGAGAATGTGCACCTGAGCTCAGCATTCCTCTTCAACTGATTTTTCAGGCATCCCTGTATATAGGAGTTGTAGCTGATGTGTGGAAAAAGGCTAACATAGTTCCAGTCTACAAAAGTGGAAGCATTGAAGACTCCCTTAATTATAGACCGGTATCATTGACAAGTGTAATAGTCAAAATATTGGAAAAAATAATTAAAACTAAATGGGTAGAACACCTGGAGAGAAATGATATAATATCAGACAGACAGTATGGTTTTCGATCTGGAAGATCCTGTGTATCGAATTTACTCAGTTTCTATGATCGAGCAACAGAGATATTACAGGAAAGAGATGGTTGGGTTGACGGCATCTATCTGGACCTTAAAAAGGCTTTCGACAGAGTTCCACATAAGAGGTTGTTCTGGAAACTGGAAAATATTGGAGGAGTGACAGGTACGCTTCTAACATGGATGAAAAATTTTCTGACTGATAGAAAAATGAAGGCTGTGATCAGAGGCAATGTATCGGACTGGAGAAATGTCACAAGTGGAGTACCACAGGGTTCAGTTCTTGCACCAGTGATGTTTATTGTCTACATAAATGATCTACCAGTTGGTATACAGAATTATATGAACATGTTTGCTGATGATGCTAAGATAATAGGAAGGATAAGAAACTTAGATGATTGTCATGCCCTTCAAGAAGACCTGGACAAAATAAGTACATGGAGCGCCACTTGGCAAATGGAATTTAATGTTAATAAATGCCATGTTATGGAATGTGGAATAGGAGAACATAGACCCCACACAAACTATATATTTTGTGAGAAATCTTTAAAGAATTCTGATAAAGAAAGAGATCTAGGGGTGGTTCTAGATAGAAAACTATCACCTGAGGACCACATAAAGAATACTGTGCGAGGAGCCTATGCCACGCTTTCTAACTTCAGAATTGCTTTTAAATACATGGATGGCGATATACTAAAGAAATTGTTCACGACTTTTGTTAGGCCAAAGCTAGAATATGCAGCAGTTGTGTGGTGCCCATATCTTAAGAAGCACATCAACAAACTGGAAAAGATGCAAAGACATGCTACTAAGTGGCTCCCAGAACTGAAGGGCAAGAGCTACGAGGAGAGGTTAGAGGCATTAAAAATGCCAAAACTAGAAGACAGAAGAAAAAGAGGTGATATGATCACTACATACAAAATAGTAACAGGAATTGATAAAATCGATAGGGAAGATTTCTTGAGACGTGGAACGTTAAGAACAAGAGGTCATAGATATAAACTAGCTAAACACAGATGCCGAAGAAATATAAGAAAATTCACTTTCGCAAACAGAGTGGTAGACGGTTGGAACAAGTTAGGTGAGAAGGTGGTGGAGGCCAAGACCGTCAGTAGTTTCAAAGCGTTATATGACAAAGAGTGCTGGGAAGACGGGACACCACGAGCGTAGCTCTCATCCTGTAACTACACTTAGGTAATTACACACACACACACACACACACTACCCCCTCCCCACCATTCTTTTCACACTTCCTCTGTAACATACCAGATATCCACCCCCCTACACCCAAACCCCTCCCACACAGTGGGACCCCTCCAGCTCCCTTACTCCCTCCCATCATCTGACCACCTGACCTGAAGCGACTTCTCTGCCCCCTCCCATCCCCCAGTTTCCCAAGCATCCTCTCCCCTACAAACACACACACACACACACGCAAACACGCACGCACGCACAAAAAAACACATAAAACAAACACACTTACACATAAAACAAACACACTTACACATAAACACAAACACACACACAAGAAAAAGCCAGAACGGTTTTTCCCTCAGCCAGGGAAAATGATGGAGGGACATCACCAAACACAGGGACAGGGGAGAATGGTGGATACTACCTTTGAATTGCTCAACCAGACATTAGGAGGATTCGGCAGAGACCTGCAAGCAATGCAAATGGGATTCAACAGAGACCTGCAAGAAATGAAAATGGGATTCAGCAGAGACCTGCAAGAAATGAAAGGGGGGATTTGGCAGAGACCTGCAGGAAATGCAAGCATTAATACAGAGCCAAAGGATTGAGTTAGAGGAAGCCAGAGAGGAGATAAAGAGACTCAGGGGAAAATCAGAATTCAAACCAGCACAGGGTATGCGACCTCCTGGAAACAGGGAACGAAGCTGATGGAAGGCTCCTTCCAGGGGGACTTGCTTTTGCAGAAATACTGCAGAACAGGCAAAGTGCCAAGGCCGCTCTAGAGGCAGCAGCTATGAAAGCAGCTACTTCACAGAAAGCTGCAAAATGCACTGAACAAATGATGGAAAGGAAACGAACAATTAAAGTTGTAGTAGTACAGGAACCAGAGGGATCCAATCGGGAGGAGTAGAGAAGGAGGGACCAATCAACCATGACAGATCTTGGAGGGACTTGATATGGAGGAGGCAAATGGCCACAAAGAGAAGGTTTTCAGGCTTGGCATCTACAAGAAGTAAAGGAAACGATTGATAAAGGTAGTGCTCACAAACGAGGCAACAAAGGAGAAAATCCTATCCAGGAAGAGCCGACTTGTGACATTAGGGGGGGATACGAAGTCTTTCTGCAAAGGGACATGACAAGGGAGGAGAGAAGGAAGGCTGCAGAAGCAAGGAGGAGAATCAGAGAAACGGGTAGGGATATGGGAGCCACAGGACTCAGCTCAGTGTCTCCAGGAACGTCAGAGGGTAGCGGGAATCCCCCCATCAACAGGCCAGCACCCCCAGGGAGGATTATAACAGAGGCCTCCCACCATCCAACCCCTCAGCCATCTCCCATCAATCACCTGCACCTCCCTAGACAGTAAAGTCCCCCTTCAGACCATGCCCCCCATGTTCCCTGACCCAGACCCCCCCCCCCCATGCCCTTTTTCTTCTCCAACTCCTACCCCAAACCCTCACTATTCCTCCACCCCTTGCCCTTCCCTGTTTCTCCAGCTTGTGCCCTTCCCAGTTTCCCCACCCCAAGCGCTCCTCCCTTCCCCCACCCTCTCCCACCCGGCCCCCCTCCCCAGGCTCCCCTCCCCTACCCAACCCCTGACTTCCCTGTCAACCCACCCCAGTCTACCCTGCATACCCCAACCCGTGACCTCCCACCACATGCCCCTCCAGCTCCCCCATACCATGCCCCAACTAATCCCCAACCCCAGAACCCCCCCCCCCCCTCAGCCGCATCACGTCAGACCCCCTAGCGCCCCTGTTCCAGATCCTCCCAGCTCCCTCACACCCCAGACACCCCAGGTCCTCCTTCCTAGGCTCACCCGTCCCAGACATCCCTTGCCCCCCAACTCCAATGGAATCAACAGAAACTGAGAATGGACAAAAGAGAGTCAGCTTCAAGGACATGTACTCGAACATAGATAGGATTATAAACAAGGCCAGTGAACTTATGGAAAGAACACAAGACGTAAACCCAGATGTAATTGGACTCACAAACAAAACTCTCAGGAATCATAACGAATGCGGTGTTTTCCCAGGACTACACTGTACTAAGGAAAGAGAGGGAAGGAAGGGGAGGAGGCGGAGTGGCTCTACTGATGAGAAAGGAATGGAGTTTCGAGGAGATGGTTATTCTGGGGTACAAAGAGTTCAGAGACTTCATAACAGGCACCATGACAATGGAAGGACCAAGAGTAGTAGTAGCAGTGATATATAACCCACCACCAAATGAAAAAGACCCAGGCAAGAGTATGACAGAAACAACATGGCAGTTAACATTATCATAGAGAGAGCAGCCGCTGCTGCCTGTAGAAATCCATCCCATCTGCTCATCATGAGGGATTTTAATAATAGAAGGATAGACTGGGAAAACAGAGAACCACATGGAGGTGAGGAAACATGGAGAGCGAAACTGCTAGAGGTGACGACTAGAAACTTTTTAAGTCAGCATGTCAAGGGTCCCACGAAAATGAGAGGACGAAAATGAAAATAAGAATGATGAACCAGCAAGACTCGGCCTAGTATTCACTCTGAACGATTCACACGTAAGGGAAATCGGTCTTGAAGCCCCCGTGGGTATGAGTGATCACAGTGTAATGTTTGAATATCTGGTCAAAGAAGGGTTAATGTACTCAAGGAAGGGACCAGAAAGCAAGAGGGCCGGCATTCTGTAAGGGAAACTATGAGGAGATGAGAAAATTCCTAACTGAAATAGCTTGGGAAACAAGAGCTCAGAGGAAAGACGGTTCAAGACATGAAGGACCACTTTGCACAGAAGTGTAAGGAGACAGCAGACAAGTTCGTCCCAGTCCAAAAGGAAAAAAATGAAATGGAGATGAGAAACCTATGGTTTAATTAGAGTTGCAAGCTAGCAAAGCAGCTTAGTAAGAGGGCATGGAGAACTATAGAAACAATAGAACACTAGAGAGCAGAGAAAGATACCAGAGGGCCAGGAATGAATACGTCAGGGTGAGAAGAGAGGTAGAGGGGCAATTTAAAAATGGCATAGCGAGCAAGGCAAAGACTCAACCCAAACTGCTGCATAGCCACATCAGAAGGAAAACAACAGTGAAGGAACAGGTAATGAAAGTGAGGATAGGGGCAGAAAGATTCACTACAAACGACAAAAAAGTGTGCGAGGAACTCAATATGAAATTCCAGGAAGTCTTCACCTCAAAGCAAGGAGAAGTCCCAGAGATAAGGGAGGGAACATCAACCCAGACACCACTAGAGGAGTTTGTGATTACTAGTTGGGAGGTGAGGAAACATCTGTTAGATTTGGACATGACAAAGGCTATAGGCCCGGATGGAATCTCACCATGGATTCTAAAGGAAGGAGCAGAAGCTCTGTGCCTACAACTCTCCATGGTGTACAACAAGTCACTGGAAACAAGTGAACTGCCAAAAATTTGGAAGACGGCCAATGTAGTCCCAATATACAAGAAGGGTGATAGGCAGGAGGCACTGAATTACAGCCCAGTGTCCCAAACTTGCATTCCAAGCAAGATGATGGAAAAGATTGTGCGAAAAAAAGCTAGTGGAACATCTGGAGTAAAAGAACTTTGAAACACAACATCAGCATGGGTTCAGAGATGGCAAATCATGCCTAACAGGATTAATTGAGTTATATAACCAGGCAAGAGAGAGAGGAATGGGCAGACTGCATATTTCTGGACTGCCAGAGAGCTTTTGACACAGTACCACATAGGAGATTAGTGCACAAACTGGAGATGCAGGCAGGAGTGAAAGGGAAGGTACTCCACTAGATAAGAGAGAAGCTAAGCAACACGACACAGCGAGTCACCGTGAGAGGTGAGGTTTCGGAGTAGCGGGGAGTCCCACAGAGATCAGTCCTTGAATCTATACTGTTTCTGATATACGTAAATGATCTCCCAGAAGGAATTGACTCGTTCCTCTCGATGTTTGCTGATGATGCATAAATAATGAGGAGGATCAGGACAGGGGAGGATAGTGTGAGGGAACAAGATGACCTAGACAAACTGAAGGAATGGTCCGACAAATGGCTACTAAAGTTTAACCCAAGTAAGTGTAAGGTAATGAAAGTAGGAGAATATCTAGGAGGCCAGTCACTGGATACAGAATGGGAGATGAAGTCCTTCACGAGAAGGACAGAGAGAAAGATCTGGGAGTTGATATCACGCCAAACCTGTCTCCCGAAGCCCACATCAAAAGAATAACATCAGCAGCATATGCGAGGCTGGCTAACATCAGAACTGCTTTCAGAAACCTATGTAAGGAATCATTCAGAACCTTATATACCACATATGTAAGGCCAATCCTGGAGTATGCAGCCCCAGCATGGAGCCCGTATCTAGTCAAGCACAAGACGAAGCTGGAAAAAATTAGGAGGTATGCCACTAGGCTAGTCCCAGAACTAAGAGGCATGAGTTATGAGGACAGACTTCGTAAACTGCACCTCACGTAGCTGGAAGACAGAAGAGCTAGGGGAGACATGACCACCACATACAAAATTCTCAGGGGAATAGACAGGGTGGACAAGGATGGATTATTTAACACGGGTGGCACACGCATAAGGGGACACAGGTAGAAGCTGAGTACCCAAATGAGCAACAGAGACATTAGAAAGAACTTTTTCAGTGTCAGAGTAGTTAGTAAATGGAATGCACTAGGAAGTGATGTGGTGGAGGCTGGCTCCATACACAGTTTCAAATGTAGATATGACAGAGCCCAATAGGCTCAGGAATCTGTACACCTGTTGATTGACGGTTGAGAGGCCAGACCAAAGAGCCAGAGCTCAACCCCCACAAGCACAATTAGGTGAGTACAATTAGGCGAGTACCACCCTAACACTAACACCACCACCCTAACACCGAGACCCTAACACCAACACCACCACCCTAACACCAACACCACCACCCTAACACCAACACCCCCACCCTAACACCAGCACCACCACCCTAACACCAGCACCACCACCCTAACACCAGCACCACCATCCTAACACCAGCACCACCACCCTAACACCAGCACCACCAACCTAACACCAGCACCACCACCTTAACAACAACACCACCACCCTAACACCAACACAACTACCCTAACACTAAAAAAAAAAAACCCTACGACCAACACCAACTCTCTAACTCTAGCACCAGAACCCTAACACCAACAGCACCACCCTAACACCAGCACCTCCACCCTAACACCAGCACCACCCTAACACCAACCACCCCCCCTAACTCCGGCACCACCACAACCCTAACACCAACATCCCCATCCTAACATCACCACCCTAACACCAACACCACCTCCCTATCTATAGCACCCCCATCTTAACACCACAACCCTAACATCAGCACCACCACCCTAACATCAACATCACCACCCTTCCACTAAGACAACGACCCAAACACCGACACCACCACCCTAACACCATCATCCACACCCCAACACCAACACAACCATCCTAACGCCACCACTAACACCCTAACTCCAAAACAACCACCTTAACACCACCCCCAAATTGAAATTGAAATTGAAATAAGTTTATTGAGGTAAAATACACACAAAGGGATGAGGTAGCTCAAGCTATTCTCACCCCGTTCAGTACAACGTGTTAGTACATACATAGACACACATCACAAACAATAAACCTGTTACCAAACATTCTGAGAGATAAACATGTACATTTCCTCCTTCACAAGTAGTATGGTATCAGACGTACACAAATACTTTTATGACCTAGTTATACGGATAATTCAACAAAATATTACAGTCTTGGTGCAAAATTCTTATATCTCTCAAGAATATCATCAACCTTTCCTTTGTGACACATCCAGGCTATTTGCTCAGGAACAGTCCTTATCTCAGTGTTTCTATATACATTAATCAACGGACAATCAAGAACATAATGGGCAAGGGTGTGAGACCTTAA